TAACATAAATGAACTTAAAGAATTTTGTCGGACATCACGTGATGGTAAAAATTTTGTTGGCGATACTGGGGAAGATGGAAAACAGTGTATAGGCACGTGTGAATGACACGGCTAATCAGGCCGGTTTCGCACGTGAATGGTCCGAGTTGGTACGGGACGGTGGACTGTATTTGTCTGTGCGCTCGTGTCAATTTAAACGAATTGACGTTCCTTTTGCAGCAGTTTATTAGCCAATTGACACGGGGTATGGCACTGAATGGAACGGGTGATTCAATGAAAATTTACGATCTTCTTTCCAATGGATATTATATCAAAGGACTTGATAGTAGTTAGGGTATATATATCTAAAATTAACGCAAATGCATATATGTAAAATTTTGCATGGAATCTTTTTCATTAAGACACCCAGAGCAGCTTTATGGCGAAATTTTGTGATATTTCTTTTTCTTTAAAAAAAAATCATTCACAAACGATCTGTTTTTCTTAGAATAATGAAATATCACAAAATTTCGCCTATAAAGCCGCTCTGGGTGTCTTAATGAAAAGGATTCCTTACAAAATTTTACATATATGCGCTTGCGTTAACGTTACATTCACGTGCCATACCCCGTGTCAATTGGCTTAGTAAACTGCTGCAAAAGGAACGTAGTTGCACGTTTAAATTGGCACGAGCACACAAACCAATACAAATGTCCTAACGTTACCAACCTAAAAAATTTCACTGGCCAATCAGATCAAGTGTGACGCGAAAAATTAAAATAAATCAAAAACCTGCTCATACCTCAACATTTTATCCATGAAATCACCTTCTGCGCACTAATAAAAAGTTTTCCTTGCGAACTTTGGTAATAGCAAAGCCTAATCCTAATCTAACAACGAAATTTTTTAGTGAAATTTTTTAGGTTGGTAACGCTAGATCAGTTGACCAATACAGTCCATTGTTCCGTGCAAACTCGGACCATGCACGTGCTTTGCACGATCCACTGTCTTGTGCTAACTCGGACCACGCACGTGCAAAGCCGGTCGGTCCCCTTTGGCCCGTGAAATTTTGCACGTGCCTATACACGGACCACTTTTCTTATAGGAAGATTACACTGCATAAACAAATTAGGTAAAAAAAGCACGGCAAATTAGATAAGTCGCTACGTACCGGTATGGACGACGTTGTCGTTAACTCTAGATTTAGAATTTAGAATTTTACCAATTTCTTATAGGGTTAATGAAGAGAAGATTACACTGCATAAACAAATTAGGTAAAAAAAGGCACGGCTAATTAGATAAGTCGCTACGTATTGGACGATAAATTTGGCTTATCGTTATCATTATCTCTAGGTTAATGAAGAGAAGATTACACTGCATAAACAAATTAGGTAAAAAAAGGCACGGCTAATTAGATAAGTCGCTACGTATTGGACGATAAATTTGGCTTATCGTTATCATTATCTCTAGGTTAATGAAGAGAAGATTACACCGCATAAACAAATTAGGTAAAAAAAGGCACGGCTAATTAGATAAGTCGCTACGTATTGGACGATAAATTTGGCTTATTGTTATCATTATCTCTAGATTTTAGAATTTAAAACTTTACTAATTTCTTATAGGGTTAATGAAGAGAAGATTACACTGCATAAACAAATCAGGTAAAAAAAAGCACGGCAAATTAGATTAAGTCGCTACGTATGGACGATAAATTTTGCTATCGTTGTTGTTATCTCTAGATTTTAGAATTTAGAATTTTGCTAATTTCTTATAGGGTTAAGATTGCACTGCATAAACAAATTAGGTAAAACAAGCACGGCAAATAGATTTTAGAATTTAGAATTTACTAATGATCGCCGCTCTATTACTCTATTATAAGTATTAGACATGGTTAGGTTAAAAAGGTAGATTATATGTAATATTTTGCTCTGTTTTACTTAGTACGTACCCAAAAATTCGTTATCATAATAAAATATTTTGTTATTGAGGATTTTTTTTTCTTTGGTTTCGTTATCGTTTTACACGAGACCCTACGATCTAGGATATTTGAAATGACGTTCTACAAAGATAAATATAACATTTTTAACTACGATAATGTGCATGAAATTGAAATTATTCTTGGGTTGTCTTATTTGAATTTAGGTCTTTATGTTGAATCTCTTGAGCAATTAAATTGTATTTTAAAATTTAACTCGAACAATCTAACTGCATTAGTTCTTCGTGGAATAACTTATTTTAAACTAGGAAAATATGACAATGCACTTTCGGATGCAAATAGGTCATTAGAACTCATGCCAAGTAACATGAGTTCATTTATCCTACGTGGAGAAATACACTTTATGTTAGGACAATATAACGAAGCTCTTATAAATTTGAATAAGGCATTGGAGATTAATCCGAATAATACGTATGTAATATCTCTTCGTGGTGAAATTTATTCAAAATGTCAACTTTTTAGCAAGGCACTCGCAGATTTTAACAAATCATCAAAGATCGAACCAAATAATACAGATGTATTGGACTCTGAAGTGACTAATAATGTGTTACAAGAATACATAAACATGTTATTATTTAATGGGGAAACGCATTATTTGCTAAAGCAATATGATAAGGCTCTTTTAAATTTTCGTCAAGTTTTAGAAACTGATCCTGATAATTTAACTGCATTATATTTACGTGGGAAAGTATGTTATGCAATAGGAAGATATTATGAGGCATTCTTAGATTTAAACAAAGTATTGGAGATTAATCCATTAGACATTGCTACACTACTTTATCGTGGGGAAGTTTATTTTAAATTTGGACATTATAATAAAGCATATTCAGATCTAAAAAAAGTATTAGAACTATATGACGAAGCTTTATATAACCCTAGGAAGTCATTGGAAATCAAATCAAATTATGCTAATGCATTGATCCTTCAAGCAAAAATTTGGTTTAATCTTGAAAAGTATGAAGACACAATACAATTTTTAAATAAGGCCTTAGAAATTAACTACCGAAATATTACTACATTAATACTTCGTGGAAGTGCATATTTTTGCCTGGATAAGCATGAAAATGCCATTAAAGATTTGAATGAAGTTTTGGAAACTGAACAGAATAATGCTACAGCAATTTTTTTACGCGGAGAAGCTTTCTACAGCCTTGGTCGTTTTCATGATGCATTCCTGAATTTTAATGATGCATTAAAAATTGAGCCGAATAATGTAGATATGTTAATTCTCCGTGGAGAAGCTCATTTGAATCAAAAATGTTATTATTATGCACATTTAGATTTCAGCAAAGCAATAGAAATTTTTCCAACAAACTTGACAGCGTTAATTTTTCAAGGGAAGAGTTTTTTATTACTAGGATTATATGAAGATTCATTATCGTGTTTGAAAGAAGTACTCGATACTGATCCAAATAACTCATTTGCGTTATTTTGTCGCAGTGAAATTCATTTTAAATTAGAACAATACGATAATGTATTCTCTGATTTAAATAAAGCATTAAAAATTGAGCCGAATTTTGTACCGGCATTAATTCTTCGTGGAACAGCATATTACAGTCTAAAAAATTATAATAAAGCTCTTGAAGACTTTAGCAAAGCATTAGAAATCGAGCCGAATAATGCGACTGTTTTAAATCATTTTATAGAGGCCTTTAATGAATTTGATTTTACGTTAATGAAAGATTCAGTAATAAGAAGTTCTGAAAATTTGGAATTAAGCAATATAACTGCAATTGTGCTATGTGGGGAAGGATATTTTATACGTGGACAATTCGAATATGCTCTTTTATATTTTAAAGAAGCATTAAAAATTCGTCCAAATAATCAAACAGCATTGATCCTTAGTGGAAAAATTTATTTCATTTTAAGAAAATATAACGAAGCACTCAAATATTTAGATAAAATGCTGAAAATTGAGTCAGATAATGATATTGCACTATTATATCTAAATGAAGCAAAATTTAAACTAGGGCTACAAAAAGATTACTTAAATCCAGGAAATTTATTAGAAATAGAATTTAATAATGCATTCTTATTATTATATAACGCTGATATCAATTTCAAACTTCAACAATTCAATAAAGCTATTTTAGATCTTGATGTTGCAATAAAAATTGAACCAGGTGATAAGGAAAAGTTGGCTCTCCGTGGGATGGCTTATTTCTTTTTAGAGAAATATGATATGGCATTTTTGGATTTTATCGAAGCATTATATCTCGAACCAAATAGTATATTTATACTATTTTATATTAAAGAAAATTTACATAAGTTGTTATTGCAAAAAAATAATGCAAGATTTATTAATTCTGATATAATTGATATAATTGGAAAAGATAATATACTTCTTTATTACGAAAAATCCGATAAATCGCTAAATGCTTTTGGAAATTATATTCTTGGTGTTTTTTATCAGTTTGGAGTTGGTAATGAACATAAAGCTTTCATTTCTTATCAAAGGTCCTCTGAGATGGAGTGTGCCAGTGGAATTAATAAGCTTGGAGATTGCTATCGTGATGGAATTGGGGTTGAAAAGGATGAACATAAGGCATTTGGATATTATCAAGAATCAGCAAACATGGGTGATGCTGCTGCAATATATAATCTTGGATGTTGTTATGAAAATGGAATAGGAGTCAAAAAGGATGTGTATAAGTCATTTATTTATTATCAAGAATCTGCAGAGATGGGAAGTGCTAGTGGTATATGTAATGTTGGACATTGTTATCTTAATGGAATTGGAATTGGAAAGAATGTCGGTACGGCATTTGCATATTATCAAAAAGCTGCCGAGATGGGAGATGCTAATGGATTATATAATATTGGTTACTTCTATGAAGAAGGAATTGAAGTTGAGAAAGATGAACCTAAGGCACTTGATTATTATCAAAAATCTGCTGATATGGGTCATGCTGAAGGAATTTATAAAGTCGGCCATTGTTATCATAACGGAATTGGAGTTGAAATAAACGAATATGAAGCATTTATCTATTATCAAAAATCTGCTGTCATGGGTCATGCCAAAGGAACATATAAAGTCGGTTATTGTTATCATAATGGAATTGGAGTTGAAATAGATGAATACAACGCATTTGATTATTATCAAAAGTCTGCTGACATGGGCCATGCTGACGGAACATATAAAGTCGGTTATTGTTATAGTGATAGAATTGGAGTTGAAAAAGATGAATATAAAGCATTTGAATATTATCAAAAATCTGCTGACATGGGTCATGCCAAAGGAACATATAATGTTGGCTATTGTTATCGTAATGGAATTGGGGTTGAAAAAGATGAATATAAAGCCTTTGATTATTATCAAAAATCATCTAACATGGGGAATGCTATTGCAATGAACTAT